ATATATATATATATATACATATATATACATATATATATATATATATACATATATATATATTTATATATATATATATATATATATATATATATATATATATATATATATATATATATATATATATATATATATATATATATATATATATATATATATATATATATATATATATATATATATATTAAAAGCTTGTTTTTATAAAAATGGTATGAATTGCTAAATCTGCAGAATATTATGTTTCTGGATTTTAGTATTTTAGCATGAAAAATAGGAAGAAAAAAAAGCCTGAGATTTGGAAACTTAAAAAAAAAAAAAACCTGAGAGCTGAAAGCAGTAAAAAAACAACATAATAAAATGGACGCTGAAAAAAACAACAAAAGCCTAAAAGCTAAGAGCTGAAAAAAGCCTGAGTGCTGGAAGCTGAAAACAAAAACAAACCTAAAAGGTAAGAGTTGGAAAAAATAGCCCGCAAGCTGGTAGCTAAAATAAAAAAAACAAGCCATGGAGTTAATGGCTAGAAAAAAAGGCCTAAAAGTTTCAAACTGAAAAACAAACAAAAAAAAACAAACAATAAAACTTAAAATAGGAAACCCTGAGACCTAAAATCACGAATAATAATATAAGCCATAAAACTGGAAGCTAAAAAAAGAATAAAAGTTGGAAGCTGGAAAAAAAAAAAGCTTTAAAAATGGAAGCTTAAAAGAAAAGCCTGAAACCTTAAAGAGGGTTAAAAAACAACTGAACCATGAAAGCCTACAAGAGTCTAAAAGCTGAAGGCTTGAAAATAAAAAAATTTGAAAGCGAGAAGCTGGAAAAAAAAATATATAGTCTAAAAATAGAAGTTTGAAAAAAAAGAGAAATAAAAGCCATAAAACTAAAGGCTGAAAAAAAAAGTTTTAAATTTTAAAGGTAAAAAAATAAAATAAAAAATCTTTTAAAATAGCTTTTTTTTTGTTTTTTTTTAACTGGACGCTAAAAAAAGAGAAACAAAAAGCCAAAAAAATCAAAATTTGAAAAATAAAAGCTACAAAACTGAAGGCTGAAAAAAAAAAGGTTTAAATTTGGAAGGTGGAAAAATAAAATAAAAAAGACTTCAAAATGAAAGTTGGAAAAAACAAAATAAAGCCTAAAAAATAGAGGCTCGAAAAATAAAAATACCTGAGACATGAAACAGCCTTCTCCGTTTTGCCTGCGCTTTTGCGCTGAAGCCTTTTTACGCTCGCTCACACGCTCGCAAAAACATTGGCAAACCCATAAAAAAGCACTTGTTAAAAAAAATTTTTGTTCATTTGTTTAATTTTTATGAAATAAGGCCTTTCTTTTACAAGATTTTTATAAAATTATTTTATCTGGTATTTATTTAAAACACTTTTTCTCTATTTTATTATAATTTAAATAGCAGAAAAAAAATTGCATAGGCTAAGTTAAAATTGACCATTCTGCCAGTGCTTTTTTGTGCGCTGGCATTAATTTTTAAACGTTGAACTTCAAACAGTGGACTGATGAAAGGGAAAAAGGTAAAAAAATAGAAGCTGGAATTAAAAGTCCTAAAAGGTGCATGCTGCGAAAAAAATTCCTTAAAGCTGGAGGCTAGAATAAATAAACAATCCAGAGAGCTGGAAGCTTGAAAAAAAACACATTCTTGAAAGCTAAAAGCTAGAATAAAATAGGGGGAAAAAAATCCTAAACCTGCTGGGAAAAAAGCCTGAGAGCTGAAGACTAGAAAAAAAAAAACCCTGAAAAATGAAGCCGGAAAAAAAAGTCTTGAAAGGTAGATGAAAAAACCCTGAAAACTGAAAGCTTTCAGGTATTTTTTTTTTCTTTTCAAGCTTCCAACTCTCAGGATTGTTTATTTATTCTAGCCTTCAGCTTTAAGGATTTTTTTTCCCAGCATGCACCTTTCAGGACTTTTAATTCCGGTTTCCATTATTTTACCTTTTTCCCTTTCATCAGTCCACCGTTTGAAGTTCAACATTTAAAAATTAATGTCACCGCACAAAAAATAAGAAAAAATGCCTTTAAGTTGGAAGATGGAAAAAAAAACATAAAAGATGGAAGTTAAAAAAATAGCCTAAAAGCAGAAAACAGGATTAAAAAAAAAACTCGTAAGCTGAAAGCTAAAAAATAAAAAAAACAAAAAAATAATTAAATCGGGAAAAGAATAGCCTGAAAGTTGGAGCTATTTTGATGAGCTAAATGATGAATTTAATTACAAGAATATATCCAGGAAAAAAATACTTTGTTTCATTGCTCATAAATAACTGAAAAAATTTCTGCATATAAGGGTTTTGAACAAATTATTATTATCTAAATAATATTTTAAATTGGTATACAAACCAACGATCTTTGATAAGTTCAAAAATTAGCGGACAAAGCATTATTTTTTAAAATAGTTAAAATATTTCAACAATATTTGATCAAAATTTTTGCAAAAGCAAAATCACATTAGTATTTTGTAGGATATCCTTTACAATCAAGAATAGCTTGGCATCTATGAGGCATAGAGTCAACTAAATTAATGCAAACGTCAATGGGAATTAAGTCCCATAATTCTTTTATTTTATTAAATAAATCAGCGTAATTTGTAGGCTTAATTCCTTTCATTTGACGGTCAACATGTTCCCATAGATGTTTAATAAGATTTAAGTCAGGTGATTGGGATAACCACTTCAAAACATTAACTTTACTCTCTTTAAAAAACTCTTAAACCGATTTAGCTGTATGTTTGGGATCCTTATCCTGTTGGTAAATCCATCCTCGAGGCATTTTATCCTTTGCATATGGTAACATAATAGTCTTACATATATCTTTGTACTTTTCTTGATTCATATTCTCGGTAATTCTATGGAGAGGACCAACTCCATTTCGGCTAAAACATCCCCAAACCATTACATTACCTCCTCCATGTTTTAGGGTAGGCAGTTGGTATTTAGGATTGTACCTAGTACCTTTTTTTTTTTTTTTTTTTTATTTGCATTCACTCCCAACAAGGCTGCAAGCAACCACTATCAAGTTGGGAGTTACTAGGAAAAAAAAGAACAGAGTTATAGAGCAAGGAAAAGGTTGACAGAAGACTTGAAAAGTTGAAGGTTGTATGAGTCAGGAAAACATGAAGATGGGAGAGAGTTCCAAAGGATTGAAGTGCGGGGAAAAAAACTAGATGAATAAAAGTTTTTAGAACATGCAGGGACAGATACAGTAAACGAATGAGACTTAGCTGAATAACGAGTAAAACGAGAATGAATTTTAGTTGATGGAACTAGAGATGATAACTCCTTTGAGCAGTGACCATGATAGTATCTGTAGAAAAGAGAAAGAGATGCAACTTTACGACGATGGGAAAGAGGTTCAAGCTTAGCAGATAGTCCAGGTCCAACAACATTTACAATGCGTTTTTGGACCTTGTCAAGAAGAGAAAGTGAATCGCTAGAAGAACCAGCCCAAATATGACAACAGTATTCCATACAGGGACGAATAAGAGATTTGTAGAGGGAGAGAATTAAATCAGAAGTAAGGAAATGGCGAGCATGATAAAGAGAAGCAACCTTAGCAGAAGCTAATTTAGCAATCGATTGTATATATGGTTTCCATGAAAGGTCAGTAGTAAGCGATAATCCAAGAAGATGTTAAGAGGACATCAAACATACCTGATTCCATCGAATCCAAACAGCATAAATTTGCTTTCATCACTAAAAAGGACCTACTGGACATTAAACATACCTGATTCCATCGGATCCAAACAGCATAAATTTGCTTTCGTCACTAAAAAGAATTTTTGACCATTTTTGACTACTCCGCTTTAGATGTTTTGATGCAAATTCCATTCAGGCGTCACAACCATTAGTTTCTTTTTCAAGGAAACTAATGGTTTTTTAGCTGGGCGTCCAAACAAATTAGCGTGACATAAACGACGTTTTATAGTAGAAATACTACAATTCATTCCAAAGAAACGCCTCATTTGGACGTTTAAATCGAAAGCTGTCAAACGGAGATTTTCTTTACTTAGTATTACAAGCTTTTTATCCTGATAACGGGTTGTTTTGCGTGGCCTTCCTGATAGATTTTATTCTTTGTAGATCTAGTAAGCTCAAATCTCTTCATAATTTGTCCAACAGCAGACTTACCAACTCCATAAAGTTGTGCTGTTTTACGAAACGAGTTTCCATTCTGAACTGATCTCAAGATCAACTTTTATTACTGGAGATGAAATACATTTCTTAGATCCCATGATCTCAATCACTTATATATAAAGTTTTGAAATTATTTTTACAAAGTATTTGTTTATAAAATCAACAAATTAGCTATTTTGTGGTGAAAATGTTAAAAGCGTTAGTTTGTCCGCAAACTTTTGAACTTATCAAAAATCGCCATTTTGTTAACCAATTTTAAAATGGTAATTAAATATTCATTATTTGCTCAAAACATAATTGTTAACTTGGAAACCTTTTAATTGGTATATAATATGTTGGCTTAGTGAAATATGTGCTGAAATTTAAGTAAAATTCCTTATTTTTTTGCCTGTTCAACTTTTGGGCGCTACTGTATGTATACATTCTCTTCTTTTAATTGATTTTAGTCCTTTTTAATTTCACTTTTTTGCAATAACTTAAATCTTTTTGTTATACTTTTAAACTACAAAAGCAATTAAAAAAAACTTAAGGTCTTCTTTTATATGGTAATTATCTATAGATATCTTTTTTTTGGTATTGATCTACACCTATATTTTTAATTTATTTTATATGAAGTATTTTTATAATTTGCAAACTGTAAAGCTTCTTTTTTGTTTAGACAAAGACAAAATAATTATTTATAAATAATATTTTTTCAATGTAAAAAGTAATAATCTAACTTTTCAAGAATTTTGCTAAAAAAAATGATAAAGTTTGCAAATGAAAAGGGTTTACAGCCTTTCTTTTGATAAAGATGATCAAATAAAGTATATATTATAAGACAAATACAAGTAAAAACAATTAAAATATAAAAAACAATTTTATACTGACCTCTGATTAAAAATTTATGCTTGAAATTTTCTCACAAGTAATATTGTACAGCTATTTCAAATTCTCAAAGAAAAACATGAGCATTACCATGGTTACTAAATGCAGCCTTGTCATTAAACTCTCTAGCCATTAGCAGCCTCTAGAATATAAACTACTTGTTTTAAAACTAACAAAGATCATTAAAAAAGTATAAATGCAATGAAAATAATAGACAGCAATAAAAATCGTGAAAATAAAGAAAAAATAATATCAGATAGTTATGAAAACCAAACACTAAAATATTATTTCTGGCCTCATAAAATTTATTGAGAATATAATGATGATGATGATGGCAATGATGATGATGATGATGATGATGATGATGATGATGATGATGATGATGATGATGATGATGATGATGATGATGATGATGATGATGATAACATGATAATGATGATAACGTGATGATGATGATGATGATGATGATGATGATGAAGATGATGATGATGATGACAAAATTGATTTATTATATTGATGATATAATGTGAGAAATATTTAATTTGATGATGAATTCATACAAGAGTTGAATTTAGTGATTGTTATAGATCATTCTGTTTTCAAAGTTTCAAAATAAAATTTTGAGATTTTGAAAAAAGAATAATAAATTACTCTCTGTTTTATATACATTTTTTTGAAAATGTTTACATTATACTGTTTGACTTCATTATTTGGACCACACATATTATCTGGATCATACTGTTTTCAAAGTTTTAAAAGAAAAATTTGGAATCTTGAAATACTGTTTGACTTCATTTTTTATTTTTGTCCGATGAAATCACTACTAATGTTGTTATTCAATTTTGTTTATCATACTGCAGTATTAAAGTTGTTCTTCTCAACACTTTTCTTTATTATCAGTAACTTCTAGAATTTCACAGAATCCTGAGTTGCTTCTCATTTATCGATCTATATATCCATTGCAAAGGTTAAAATATACCTAGAGAATTTGTTCTCTTATGTTTTTAAAATTCCAACCTTGAAAATGTCAAGGTTGAAAGTGAATTTTTTAAATATATTTTTTTGGTAATTAAAACTTAAGCATTTTTTAGTAATGTGTTGCAAAACAAATGAGATGATGTAATGATTGCATATTATGATGCAAAACAAATGAGACGATGTAATGATTTCATAATGTATTGCAAAACAAATGAGATGATGTAATGATTGCATGTGATAATTATTATTACAAGCCATGCTCATCATAGACATTATCAACAGTGAAAGTTTATGTTAACTGTTTTATTTACTAGACACCTAAAATAAAAACTCCAATAATTAAATTTTGATATTCCAAGAATTTATTGGACCTTCTGGATCATGTTCTGCAATTTTAACCTAAATTGTTCTCTGAACCTCCTTTAAAAGCTCCTTAAAAAACTAAACTGTGTTCTACTAGATAGTGACTGTAGTGAGCATGAGATACTAACATGTTTACCATAGTACTCCAACATGTTAAAGCAAATAATTCCATTACTCTATGCACGAGATTGTATCAAACTAAAAGATAGAAATCTTCAAAAAACACTCTTTGGTTCTTACAATGAAACCAATTTGTTTATAGTTATGTTTTATTTACTAAAACAAAATGTTGTTAATTGTCTTTATCTTCATTTAGAAAAAGTTTATGAAAGAATGTTATATCAATGACAAATAAGTTTATTTGAAAAATGTTATATCAATGACAAATGAGTTTATTTGAAAAAGAATCAAAGTCATGTGACCAGTTAGCCAAATAATAAACATGTTAGACT